TGACAAGTATTTACCCGGTTTTCTGGTCAGTGCAAATTTCCAACATCTAATTTTCGGTATGTCCGATGTATAAAATGGTTTGTTTTTGTTTAGGTGCGAGCGCACAACAGTGTGTTATGTGCAATCCATGATTTGTCCACGTGTGGCTCTTAATACCAACCATTCCCGGTTCGCACCTTCTTATTGCGGTACGATGGTTATCATTTCACAACCAGTCCTCGTCTTCTGTATCATACGATGTTCATCGTTTCACAACCAGTCCTCATCTTCTATATCATATGAAGTTCATCGTTTTACAACCAGTCCTCATCTTCTGTATCATATGATGTTCATCTTTTCCCAACCAGTCCTCATCTTCTGTAGCATTATTTTTCACGTCTGCCACTTCTTGTATTGTATTGCTCCACGGCTATCTCCGCCCACCAATGGCATCTGCTCTACTAACATCCAGAGCAATGTGGTTTCGTCTACAACAGGAGGGCTAAAAACTTTACTTCGTCTGATGATTTCAAGCACGAAGGAGGCTCAACTGGCTCTCATCTGATGACAGCGTCTCCGAGAGAGATGCTGAGCACCCCCCACGCTGAGGACAGTGCGTCAGGTATGCCAAACAGGTTTACGAAACACGGAGCATGTAGAAGTATAGTGCACTAGCTCAGGCATGCTGATAAGTACTGTCAGGGGCTCAACCTGTATCCTTTCTAGTATCGCGTCCGGAAACTGCTGTATGGGAGTTGTGTGAGTTGTGGGTCTTGACATATCACTGAGAGCAAATGAGTGGTTCAAATGTATTGTTGTTGTGCCATGGGCTCTGCAAAAATGTAAACCAAATTTAATCCTCTGCATAGTCTGCGCAGAAGTTCGTACAGTTTCTGCTGTGACTTGCAAAAATAGATAAGATTCGCCACTCGTCAGGTGCTTATCATACGTGTCCTTCCTTGCACCTCAATCCCTTTATGACGGGGTCAGTGAATTATTCTGCGATCTGCCAAAAGAAAATTATTCTCAAGTAGCCTACTGTTTGTTCGACAGAATCGAAAAAGAGTGTGAGCAACTCTATCCAAGCATTCACAGCACACACTGATGGGACGATGAGTGGAGGTATCCAATGCATGAATGTCAATGGCGAAGACATCATGATGTACTCCAACTACACAGAGGATGATAAGCCACGGATGCACGTGGTAAGTCAGTTGACACCCACACCACCCCACTTACACGCGAGTATATGTGACTGACAACCATGCGCGCATGAATGCAGCCATACTTGCCCGCTGTTACATGCGGGAAAGGGCACTGGCTCATGCGCGATTGCGAACGCGTGAGTATAACTGGAGAACAAAAACAACACATGGAGTGGTGAAACGGAGACTGCGTAGTTTCAGGGATTGATCCTTCGCTATTTCTACGTTGTATATTCGTGGAATGATATAAATGAGTATATATATATAAATATAAATATATATAAA